CTGCACCCACGCCTTTGGGCCTCTTCCCCAAAACCCACTGCCGTCCAGTCGACTGTGCCTCCTGGCACCCCCGTCTGTCACAGCAGAACTGCGCCCCCTGGGGTTTTCCGTGGCTGATATTTTGGAAGAAGATTGCCAGGCCTTTTCTCTGCAGCACCACTGCATGGATTCGAACCTCCAACCTTTCAGTCAGTAGCTGAGCACACTCTCTGAACCACCCAGAGACCTTCAGGTATAACCTCCTGCCAGCGCCCCTCCCCATCCTCCCAGCCTGCCCCCTGTGAAGCCCCCCTCCTCGCTGAGTCCCAGGAGACCATTTTCTACCTCGGACACTGGGATGGGGTCCTGGTGGCACTGGGACCCCCCGCCACCACCATCACAGGTGAGAACAGAGTCTTAAAAACACCACTAAGCACAGCTCGTGCAGGGTGGTCGCGTCTGCGGTCTGGAGGCTCCCAAACACGACTGCATCAGAGCTTGTGACGCGGCTCAGAGAAGGGGCTGTCCCTCCAGGGCCAGGAAGAGGTGCAGCCGGGGCTGGCCACCCAGCCGCTGTGGTCCTGAGGTCCTGACCTGCAGCTCCACCCCCCACGGCACACGCATGCCCACGCGTGCCTCCACAGACAGACACACGGCAGGCGGGTGCCCACAGGGAAGCAGTGGCCACACTTAGTAGCCCAACGAAAAATACTGTTTCAACAGCAAAGAGCAGCAGAGTGCCTGGTGGGGCAAGTGGTCAGCACCTCTGCCGTCCACCGAAAGGTCCGCCCCAGAAGCACCTGGGAGGAAAAGGCTGATGAAAACTCAGCCACGAAATCTGCATGGAGCACGGTCCGACTCTTCGGGGTCGACTCCACAGCGGCTGGTTTGTTTTGTCAGTTTGGGGGCTGTGAACAGCTAACACGCTCGGCTGCTCGCCCAGACGGGTTCAAGTCCACCGAGAGGGACCTCGGGAGAGAGGCTGGCAGTTCCCTTCTGGAGAACCAGCCGTTGCCAACCCGTGGACCACACTTCTACTGACGCACCCCGTGTCGCCATGAGTCGGAGTTGACTCGGCGGCAGCTGGTTAGGCTTTTTACTGAGACCTCAGCGAGGCGAGAAGGTCCCGAGGTGGCACGGTTTGTTGTGCTCCACCACTACCCTGAAGGTTGGTGGTTTGAACTCACCCAGGGGTGCCGCAGAAGAAAGGCCTGACAACTGCGTCCATAACGATGACAGCCAAGGGAACCTAGGGGCAGCTGCGCTCTGCACATGCACGGGGCTGCTGGGAGCCGGGACCCACCGGGCAGCAGCAACTTGCTTTGGTTTGCTGTGGAGAGGCAAGGGGGTCAGGGGCTCTGGACAGCCCTCTGGAATCAGGTGCCTTCCGTCCGGCCACGCATGGCTCCTGGCACCTGGCGAAGCCTCCTCTTCCCTCGCAGGGGACGGAGGGGCACGTTACCTTGCTGCACCTCCTCCATCTTCACACCTGAGCAAGCCGGGAACGGCCAGGTGGAGGACAGGGCGCGGGAGGGTGGCACACCCGTCCACCCCGCACGGCTGCGGGAAGACAGGTGCCACCCCGTCCCTCCCGTGGGGCTTGGCTGCAGGCCCCGCAGAAGGAGCTCCCTCTGCCCACCACACCCTGGCCCCGCCGCGGGCCGGGATGTAAATTAAAATTCAATTTCATTAAAGCCAGTGAGCAGTCAATCCCTGGCACGGGCTAACAATGCCGGTGGGGGCCCCGCGTCCCCACCGATCGTAACTCACGGGCCTCCCCCGCTCCTCCTTGCAAACTGCTGGAGCTGCACTTTCGGTCCGAATTGATGGCGCTGGCAGCGGCAGGGCTGAGTTACAGCCGCAGGTTTGATCGGGGACCGCATTATTCTGCACGTAACCCTCGTGCCCTGACAGCCGGGAAGGGCTTGTTGTTCTCGGAGCCGGGCATTGTCCCCTGGCCGGCCGGTGGGCTCAGGGAGACCCTGGATCCTGGGCTGCACACACCCAGGGCTCCCTGGTGCCCACAGTCCAACCACAGGAAGTAGCAAGTAATACCCGCCCTGCTCCGCCTGCAGGGGGCGGTGGTGGCTTAGGCAGAACTCTCACGGTCTATGCGGGAGACCCTGGTTTGATTCCCGGCCACCTGTCTGTCCGTGGAGGCCTGTGTGTGGCCGTGATGCTGACGGGTTTCAGCAGACCTCCCCAATTAAGACAGACTGGGCCGAAAGGCCTGGTGATCTACGGAGAATGAGCCAACAGAAACCTTCGGGTTCATGATGGTCTGACCTGCAGCCCATGGTGGGGACGGCCAGGCCCAGCAGCCTTCTGTCCTAACCCTTCTGTGGTGCAGGAGTCCCCGTGATTGCCAGAATGCCCAGTCACAGATGCTGTCAGTTAAACTGTGTCCCCAGAAAGGACGTGTTGGGGCCCTGAGCCCTGTACCTGTGGCTGTGCCCTTGCTTGGGGAATGAGGGTCTGCCTCTGAAGTGGCCGTGGTCGATTCTGACTCGTGGTGACCCCTTTGTGTGGAGCTGAGACGCTCAACAGGCTTGGTTGGTTTGCAGCGGTGGCCTGGCCGAGAGTGTCTGGAGCCCGCTACTTTCCATGCAACACCCGATACACGCTTCCCATTGGTTGCAGCTCCCGCAGTGTGACAGCACTCTGCCTTCCCGCTGCCTCCTGGGCTCCCCGTTTCCATCCGTCCTTCTGTCCTGCCCCTTGTTCCTTCCGAACCTTGTTTTGGGGCAGACGTTCCCCCATTGGTCTCGTGTGGTGGATGTTCTGAGGAACACGCTCCTCACAGGGGTTAGTGCTCATTTTAGAGGCCTGCCTGTCCTTGGCTGCGAGGCGATCCCCAGGGTGGGTGCAGTTCCAGGCCTGAAGGGTGTCTAAGGGCCACCGTCTCGGGGGTCCCCCCGTGTCTGTCAGACCGGGAAGCCTGGTCTCTTACGATTTTGGATTTTATTCTACATTTTCTCCCACTCTTTCCAGAGCTTTCTATCATGGTCCTGCTCAGAATGGTCAGCAGTGGCAGCCGGGCATCACCTAGTTCTGGTCTCGGCCTACTGGAGGCTGAGGTCCATGTGGCCTGTAAGTCCTTTGGACTGATTGCCTCCTTGAGGCTTCATAGGGCTTTGGGGGCTGTGACCTTTTGGAAGCAGACGGCCAGGTCTTTCTTCTGAGGTACTTCTGAATGTGTTCAAACCGCCCACCTTTCCATTAGAAGTTGAGCACTTAACCGTTTGCATCACCCATGGAATCCGTGGAATTCCAGGCTCGTGGAGAACAGCAAGGTGGCACCCTGTGCACCGACTTTCAGAGACGCCCCACAGATACCAGCTTGCGGAGGGAGCAAGCTGTGAGACAGCGTGCACAGTAACCGAAAAACCAAGCCCACTGCTACTGCGTTGATTCTGACGCGCACTGGGCTTTCAAGGCTGGGAATCTGTGCAGAAGCAGACTGCCTCATCGTCCTCCCACAGAGCAGCTGGCGGGTTTGAACCCCTGACCTTCTGGTTAGCAGCCAAATGCCTTACCCACTACCCCACCGAAGCTCCTTAGTGTGCAGGGTGCATGGGTACAAATACAAACGTCTGTGGCCACATAGAGAGGTCTGCAGTCCCACACTGCACGCAGGGCTTCCTTCTGGGCTGTGGATTTCGGGGAGAAAGGGAGTTTCACTTCTTGCCTTGATGTATCAGAATGTTGCAAGAGCTCGCATCACTTCTGTAAGGTTAGGAACCACCCGGAAGTCTCTAAAAGTTTCCACGCCCCATCTGGGCCTCGAGTGTTTGAGTGGGAGGGGGCTCAGCCACACACACAGCTCCTGGTGGGGAGGGGAGCACATTGCTGACCAGTGCACATGACAACCCTGGAGACCCACTCCCAGCCCGGACAGACAGGAGCCACGCTGGCAGGGCACCGGCCAGGAGCAGCCAGCGGCGAGCAGGCTGAGACCCAGGGGGCAGCCAGACACCCCCTGGCCTGGGCCCCAGCGCCTCCGTGTGACCATCCCCGCAGGTCCTGCCGCCCTTGGGTGGGATGGGAGATGTCCGTGGCTCTCCCGGGTACGCTGACCCTGGGGGACTGAGCTGGTCTTTGTATGCTCCCTGTGTGTCTTGGTGAGCTGAAAAGTATTTTTCTCCGTTACTAATTAACTCCCTGCCACCCTGCCCGCAGCACAGCCTGATTTATGCCTGCCTCTCCGCACTGGGGGGACGAGCTATTCCATCTCGGCCGGTGGATGCCGTCTCCATGAAATGCAGATCACTCATCCTGCTAGCCTCCTGCCAGCTCGCATCCGTCTTCCTGCTGTCCACCGCTCCGGCGTCTCGGCTGCCGCAGCTGTAAATCACACAGCCGCACTTTATAATAATGCCCTCTGACCCCTGGCCACACCTGTCAGCACAGCCGGGAATCCATTGAGCCACCATGGGCTGCCCATTCCGGCAGAAACCAGGCCCCTGGCAGCCCCTGGCTGGCTAGTCTGCAGGAACCAGAAGCGACCCAGGGATCAATGTCTACAAGCCCAGCCCCTGTGGCCCACACTGTTGGGGATCTGTTTGTGTCCCCTTGGCCAAGTCCACCTGCAGGCAATGGCCACTGGGTCTCCCTGGACATCCTCGAGCATAGGGCCATGCACATTCCACTCACAGCACGTCAGGGTGCCAAGGGACGACACTCTGGGGCAGCCCTGAACCGTGAGGGGTGGGAGCAGTGTGATGGGCTCTAAATGGGTGGGGGACCCTGATGTGCAACATCCGCCAATTGCTAGGGTATATACTCCCACCCTGACTGACTTCAAGTTAAAATGTTAGCAGTTCTTATGAACTTCTGTATGGAAAGTGAATTTGCTCTGTAAACTTTCACCCAAATAAAAAAAAAAAAAAAAACTGTTAGCAGTTCTTGCCACATGGTCCTCTCCTTCCCCAAGGAATGTGGTGGAGATGGTGTCAGTGATGGTGGCAGCTATGGTGATGGTGGTGGTGGATGTGGTGGCGGTGGTGGTGGAGGCAGAGGTAATGGAGGTGGTGGTGGAGGTGGTGGAGGTGGTTGTGATGGAGGTGGTGTCAGTGATGGTGGCAGCTGTGGTGGTGGTGGTGATGGACGTGGTGGTGGTGATGGTGGAGGCAGAGGTAATGGAGGTGGTGGTGGTGGTTGTGATGGAGGTGGTGTCAGTGACGGTGGCAGCTGTGGTGGTGGTGGTGATGGACGTGGTGGTGGTGATGGTGGAGGCAGAGGTAATGGAGGTGG